AATAAGTTTAAAGGATTCTTTAGATTTATATGGAATCAATAAACAGAAACTCAAAATGAATCGTGATGAACCAAATTGGGCTGGTCTTCGTGAATTGAATGGTAGAGAGTTAGAATATTATTTACCAAAAAATGTTAACAATATCAAAAATCCTGAACATTTCAAAAGATCACAAATGAGTTCCAAAGTTTTTAAATTCAAAATTGCGCTTAATCCTTTTGATTGTGGAGCAGAACGTTCTGCTTTTTTCGGTTATGATACAATCAAAAATGAAAAAATGGTCTTAAAAAAATACCATACCGGTGATAACTCGATTACACGTCATCTCGAATCATCCGAAATTTCAATAATTGCATATTTTTTAGCGGAAAAATTCAATTCAAAATGTGAAAAAAATAATATAAAGAAAAAAATTAGATTCATTTATTCTAGAGTTGTGACAGAAAATAACTCCGAGAATTGTTATTCTATAGAATATTTTTTGGCTGCTGAATATAAAAAATTCAATACAAATAGTGGGGTAATTACTGAATTACATTCAACGCTCGAAGCATTCTCTCATTTTACGTATGATTTCACCGAAAAATACTTAGTAGTATGCGATCTACAGGGTGCCGAATATCAAAAGGAATTCTGGCTAACAGATCCAGCTATTCATTGTATCGATAACAAGAGATTTGGAGGTACGAATTTCGGTAAACAAGGAATCGATGAATTTTTTCTTAAAAATCACATTTGTAATGTAGTTTGTAAAAAATTGAATTTATCCTAGTTTTTTATTCCGATATTTTTTTATTTTATTATTGGACAAGATTAAGATTTTTTTATACAAATATGGAGCAAATCAAATAAAGAATACAATTTTTTTTAGTAATTTCTCGACTAGAGTTGCAGGTGAAACTACATATTTCACCAATTGAAACTGGAGCAACTGGTAAAATTATATTGCATCAAGTAGGCAATTTGGTGACATGGTGAAGCTTGTGAAATGGTGAAGGGTGAAGCTGACGAAATTGGTAAATCTGG